TGCTGAATTTTATTGGCCCTCAAAAGATAAAAGACAAAACTACTTAGTAACAAATTAACAACATCAATAGTTGCAATTAAAATATACGAAAAATAGTTTTTCACGAACTAAATTTTCATTCAGGTTTTATTCTAAAATGAAAATTATTGAATGAATAGTCAACTTGATTTAAATCACAAGTTACTAGAAAACTTTGTGAAAAATGTGAAGTAATTTACTTCTCAAAATTTAAAACAATGAGATGCTGACATCTTCTTTATTAAAAAGAATTAAAAACTCAAACTGAACAACAGATACTACTTTTTTTTTTTTTTGGTGGCTGAGCAGTACAGGGATCCAAAACTTTGACTTTGGTGTTATCAGCACCACGCTCGAACTGAGTGAGCTAACTGGCCAGCCTCTTTAATATTACACTTAATAGCAAAACAAATTTTTACATGATACTTTTTGTTAAAGGTAGAAGCTGCTTTGGCATTAGGTTTTTTTTTTTGCAAACCGAAGCTGAATATAAATACAGTTTAAAACACATACTTACTAATACATATTTGTGTGTAGATATATGTATAACAGCATGGACTTTGGAGGCTCTGCCAATTACTAGGTATATCATCTCTGGGAGATAATGTAACCTCTCAGTGACGCAGTTTCCTCATGTATAAAATGAGACACTGGGCTGGCCTGTGGCTCACTTGGGAGAGTGTGGTACTGATAACACCAAGGCCATGGGTCTGGATCCCTATATAGGGATGGCCAGTTGGCTCACTTGGGAGAGTGTGGTACTGACAACACCAAGTCAAGGGTTAAGATCCCTGTATTGGCCATCTTTTTTGAAAAAATAAATTTAAAAAAAAATGAGCCATTATTTGTTTTTTTGTGTGTGGCTGGCCCATATGTGGATTTGAACTCTTTGACCTTGGTGTTACAACACTGTGCTCTAACCAACTAAGCCAACTGTCTCATGATTCTTTTTTTTTTTTGGCAGCTGGCCAGCATGGGGATCTGAACCCTTTACAAGGCGGTGCTCTAACCAGGTGAGATAACCAGCCAGCCCTAAAATGAGACTTACTTCATGGGACTACCATGAGGATTAAGTGAATAAAGACATGCAAAATGTTTAGAACTTATGTATGTGCCTGGCACATAGGTAAATAGATAAGTACTCAATAAAAATCTGCTATTTTTACATATGTATCTATAATCTATGCTTACATTATTTTGCACATATATATAATTTGCATATATATATTATTAATTTGCATATATATAATTTATTAACAATATCTGATGGGCATTTTCCCATGTCTATAAAGTATAACATAATCATTTAAAATTATATATAAAGTTGAAATCTTGAAAACAGCCTAAATTACAATGAATAAGAGCAAATAACATCATTTGCAATTCTTTTTTATTTCTCTGAATGAAAATGTTGATGATGGTCAACTGCTCTTTTAACATTAAGGATCTGACGCAAAATTTTTTAGGGGAAGGGAATTTGAGAATATCAATCTACATTTATAAGACACTTAACTTTTGACGCATCACTACACTTTTAGGAATTCATCAGAAAATACATTTTTGTTTTTTGCAGCTGGCCAGTACAGGGATCCATACCCTTGACCTTGGTGTTACAAAACTGCACTCTAAAACAACTGAGCTAACCGACCAGCCCTAGAAATACATATTTACAATGATGTTCAGGTGTCTGTAATCACAAAAGTCTGGATAGAACCTAAATGTGCATCAATAAGGGGCTGTTTAAATATATGAAACATCCTTATATCCTAAAACATTTTAGAATCATTAAAAAAATTAACAAGGTAGAGCTATATATGTTGGTATGGAAGGACTTCCAAAATATAAAGAAAAGTAACTGCAGAACCATACATAGAGTATGATCTGATTTATGTTTGTTTTTTTTTTAAAAGATGACCGGTAAGGGGATCTTAACCCTTGCCTTGGTGTTGTCAGCACCACGCTCAGCCAGTGAGCTAACCAGCCATCCCCATATGGGATCCGAACCCAGGGCCTTGGTGTTATCAGCACTGCACTCTACCGAGTGAGCCACGGGCCGGCCCTGATTTATGTTTAAAAAGAAAAAAAAACACTGAAAAACAGATTTAGATGTTTTTACATAAGAGGAAATTGTTAATAGTGGTTAATTCTGGGGAGTGAAAAAAGGAGACTTTATACTTTCAACCCTTCTGTATTATTTGAAATTTAAAAAAAATTGTGTGTGGGGACGAGCCCGTGGCGCACTCGGGAGAGTGCGGCGCTGGGAGTGCAGTGGTGCTCCAGCCGCGGGTTTGGATCCTATATAGGGATGGCCGGTGTGATGCGCTCACTGGCTGAGCGTGGTGCGGCCGGTCACAAAAAGGACAAAAGAAAAAAAAAAATTGTGTGTGTATGTGTATGGTAAAATATACATAACATAAAACTTACCATTTTAATCATTTTTAAGTCTTTAGTTCAGTATCATTCAGTATATTCACATTGTACAACCATCACCACCATCCATTTCCAGAACTCATTTCATTATTTGAAAATTTTTTTTTTTTTTTTTCCTTTTTGTCTTTTTTCGTGACCGGCAACGGATTGCAACCCTCAGTGTCGCGCCCGTACTGGACCGGGACCGGCCACGGGATCGCAACCCTCGGTGTTGCTCCTGCACCTCACTCAGCCAGTGAGCGGCCGGTCTGCATGTGGGTTCCGACCCCTTGGCGGGAGCGCCACCGTGCTTCCCAAGTGGCGCACTGTAGCAGTGCGCCACCGGGCCGGCCCCCATTATTTGAAATTTTTACTGGAAGCATGTACATCTAAATTTTTTTAAAAGTTCTAAGTTTTTTTTGTTCAGTTTCCCCAACAACCTCGTATTACAAAGATTTTAAAAATTATATGGTCAGTGATGAGGAAGACTAACAGAAAAAGATCAGATTGTTTTATATTACAACAGATAACATTTTGCTCAATTAAGAAAAATTACTTCGAAAAAAGAAAAAAAAATTTGAAAAAGAAAAAAAATTACTTTAACCTCATCAATCTCCATTTTATTTTTATCATCAATGACAAAAATTGATATTATAGTTTTTTTAATACTCTCAACTCTATTAATTTTCCATCCATAGAACAAAAATTGCTCTAAGATTTTTTTTTTTTTTAAATTTAACATGAATTGAAACCTACTTGCCATCCCTGGATAGGGCTTTCAAATTTGTTCCTCTTCTAGTCTGGAAACCCAGGGATAGCAAATAGACAATGACTTCAAATAGTTCTGTCCTAGCTAAAAACCCCAGAAACAGAGAACATTAGCACCTATCCAAACTGGATCACTCCGTTTCTTCTTTTGTATACAGAAATATTCATAGTTCTATATGGTTAATACTAGAACAAGTAAAAGAAATAGCTAAGACCCAGACTAGTTGCAAGGGAAAAAAAATATTGACTATATAGTAGGGAAACAGGACAACACCTTGACTAGATGATCAAAATTAACATCACCAATGAGAGGCAGATGGATAACATGTGCTATCAGATGTGATATCCTGAGGACACAAAATCACTTGTATAATTTTCCATATGGGAATGTACAACTTGCAACTAATCATAAGGAAACATCAAACAAATCCAAAATGAGTAACAGTCTATTAAAAAGGAGGAGAGGCAGGCTGGCAGGTTAGCTCAGTTGGTTAGAGTGCAGCCTTATAACCCCAAGGTCACAGGTTCGGATCCCTGTGCCAGCCACACACACACACACACACACACACACACACACACACACACACACACAGTAGGAGAGGAGGCTGTAGACTATATTCTTCAAAAAATGCCAATGTCATAAAGAACAAAGAAAGGCTTTGTTAGGAAATGTTCCTAATTAAAGGAGAACAAACAGACATGATAAACAAATGCAATACCCAATCCTAGATTGGAAACTGTACTTAAAGAAAAAAAAAAAATACTGGGCCAGCCTGTGGCTCACTCGGGAGAGTGCGGTGCTGATAACACCACGGGTTTGTATCCTATATAGGGATGGCTGGTTAGCTCACTTGGAGAGCGTGGTGTTGACAACACCAAGTTAAGGGTTAAGATCCCCTTAACGGTCATCTTTAAAAAAAAAAAAAAAAGCTCATAAAGAACATTACAGGATCAACAAACAAGACTAGAATAGAGATGGCAGATTAGATAAAATTATTGTATTAGGGTTAACTTTGCTAAAGTTGATGACTGTAACATAGTTATTGAAGGAAATACACATTGATGTATTTAGGGGTAAAGGGCTATAATATGTGCTACCTACTTTGAGATGGCTGAGGAAAAAATATTTGAGAAAGATCTATATATTTAAAAGAGAAAGATCAAGGGCCGGCCCGTGGCTCACTCGGGAGAGTGCGGTGCTGATAACACCAAGGCCCCGTATCCTATATAGGGATGGCTGGTTAGCTCACTTGGAGAGCGTGGTGTTGACAACACCAAGTTAAGGGTTAAGATCCCCTTAACGGTCATCTTTAAAAAAAAAAAAAAAAGCTCATAAAGAACATTACAGGATCAACAAACAAGACTAGAATAGAGATGGCAGATTAGATAAAATTATTGTATTAGGGTTAACTTTGCTAAAGTTGATGACTTAAAATAAAAGAGAAAGATCAAATGAGAAAGGAAATGAGGTAAAATATCAATAATAGGTGAATCTAGGTTATGGATATGGGTATTCTTTGTCCTTTTCTTATTTTTGTAACTTTTCTATAAGCCTGAAATTATTTCCAAATATAAAAAAATTAATGAAAAAAAGTATAGCTAAAAAAGATTTAGCACAGAGGCCTCTTGTTGAAATCAGGATTTAAGGAAAAAAAGGAGAGGAAGAATGTGAGAATTGGGAAAGGATATCTATGTGATAATAAACTTAGAACTGAATGAAGTAAAATGATTTGAAATAAACAGAAATTAAACTCTTAAATTAAATTTAGGGCTTAAAAAACAGTTCAAAAATCAAAATGTTTTACCTTAATTTAGCTGAACGTAGTATTCTGGTAAGTGAAACACAGTTTCCTTCCATGATGCCCTTTCCAACTGTGGGAACGATGCTTTTGCGGCATGCAACATATAATGAACATGCCAACCAGTGTATAACCTCTCCCTGGAGGCAAAAGACAAACAGCAAAATTGATATATTATTATGTTAAAATACTTGAATTCTGAAAATAGAAAAGAACTGGTCTAATTTTCCTTCTGGAGGTAATAGGACAAAGAAATAAAGATATTTTCCCAAGGTCACAAAGCTAAATTAATTGAAGTAATGGATATAAAATTCCTTACTCTCAGTCCTGTGTTCTTACAACTATAACGTGCTAAATCAGTATTAATCTAAAGATAGATCTCTCACCTACACTCGAAATCTAAAACTACTGAGAGTTCTCTTAAAATTTGTCAGTATTAGCTTCTGCATTTTAAAATACCAGTCATGGCCTTAATGATGCTGATGTTTATTTCTACCAACTTAGTTTCATGTTTCTTTTTTAAAAGTTTGGCAGAGAAAGCACAGAACAAAGTAAAAAGTTGGTAAGGCAGTCACACATAAAATATTTATACATATCATGTGTAATATAAAGGACAGTGTCATTTTTATGAGGTAAAAATTTGGGGAATGATTTACTCCCAAACATGTTATCTTTAAAATAATAAGTATGGCTCTCCATCTTAGTAGACATCTCAGTTTACACTGCTACAAAAAAGGTGACATTTGGGAATTTGACATTTAATTTTCTCCTTTAAACTCGAGATATGACATCATTGCTGAAATATAGGTGAAGTTTAATGGTTAAGAATTAAAGATGCAAATCTCATAGCACAACATAATATTGTTCCTATTCACTGTTCTGCAAATCCTCTTTAAGACCAGACTCTACAAGGATAAAAAGATCGATAAAAAGATTTCTTGCAATAATCTAAAAGGGGTGGGTAGAAATGGGTGGCAGTCAACAAAGCTAAAACTCAGTGTTCCTACTCTATAGAAGTAAAGAGTCTTATTTGCTCAAAGCACTAAATGAGGCAAGGAAGCTTAATGAAGAATATTTTTAGAAGCCTTGATTAATGAACCGGTGGCTAAATGAAAATACTAGCAAGATGGAGAAAATATAAGTCCTAGAATTATTGTTTTGATCTTTTTTCCTAAAAAAAAGTCAACTATATTATTTATTCTAGTTCCTAGGCCTTGATGGCAGGCCTTAGGAATTCAAACATGGGACTGACCTGTTAGCTCAGCTGGTTAGAGGAAGGTGTTGTAACACCAAGGTCAGCGGTTCAGATCCCAGTATAGACTAACTGCCAAAAACCCCCCAAATAAATCAAAATAAATAAAAATTTTTTAAATTAAAAAAAACAAAGGTGGTTTCTGACTTCACGAACTCCACATCTAGAGCTAACAAGAGGAACAGATACTATTATCTATAATTGGTGACATACAGGCTATAAGAAGAATTGAAGATAAAGTGTTGTGGGAGAATATAGTGTAATGAGTAACTGATTTTGATTGGAGGTCAGAGAAGGTTTCACAGAAGGAGACTTACAAATGGTAAAAGGTAAATCACCAAAAATTTAAATGCGGAGTAAGGGGACAATGTAAGCAGGGGGTTATCAGACAGAGAGGGGTAGGGATTGGGGAGAGGGTTCTCAGGAGAGAGATATGAAAATGCCCACTCAAAATGCCTTTCACCAAAAACTGGAAAGAAAAAAAAAAAAGAGGAGGAAAATAAAACATTCTGGATAGAATAAATACTAACAAAATCTCAATTCACACAACTGTGCTTTCTTTCTTTCTTTTTTTTTTTGACCGGTAAGGGGATCGCAACCCTCGGCGCGCGGTGTTGTCTGCACCACGCTCTGCCAGTGAGCGCACTGACCATCCCTATATAGGATCCGAACTCGCGGCCTCGGTGCTATCAGCGCCTCACTCTCCCGAGTGAGCCACGGGGCTGGCCCTGACACATCTGTGCTTTTTAAAGTAAACATTAAAGATGTCCTGATCAAGTCTGCCTAACTAGAGATTTAGCTCTTCAACCTTCTCTGGAGTTGAGGTGAGAGAAAGGGTTCCAAGCAGAGGGAATAGCATGGGGGAAGCATACAACTGAGAAAAAGCTTGTCATATTCAAGAAATAAAAGAGATTCCTAGTTGAGTGCCTTGACCATAGTTTGCGCTAGGTAAATGCTTATTCAATGAGAGATCAAATGATCAAATGAGGACCTGGGACATCAGAAATGCTTTCTCAGTTTTTCAAAAATCAATGTTTTCAAGTGAGAGGCCATAAGTCAAAATATCCCTTACTTTCTTATTATTCTTCCCTCAGCTTTCCAGTCATGCCACCCAAGGGTGCAAATCACTGTACTTTATCCAGTCTATCCAGTCCTCTCCTGGACACATACAAGATCTCTCTCAGGTACTTTTTCTCATATATAGACACACATACAGTCAACTCCATATTTCCAACTCTGTGCCTTTGAACCCAGCAATTAATTCACTGGGTGGTGAGTCAGTGGAGCACCGTGTGTGTGAGTCCATCCCTCTTGGCTCATGAAAGCCTTTGAACATAAGACCACTGGAGTGATATGCTGAAACCCATTCCATCCCAATTCTATCTCTATCCGGGGGTTATGATTGTCTGGGTTCCTATATCAGAATGACCCTGGGCGAGACCATCCTCTGAGCCTCGATATTATTACCTCGCAAGCAGGAATAATATTCACTGCCCTACCTTGGTCACAGAGCTGTTGTGAGAACAAAATGCGAGAACAACTGGGGAAAATCTAATAATGATAACCGACATTTATTTTGCTCAGAGCCAGACACTGTGCTAAGCATCAGGATAATGATCTGACAGAGGACCTTGGAGCTGTGAGATGAGCTTTGTGTGCATATTGGCTTTGATCAAACTACCGTATAGTGCTGTCCTACAAAGGGAGCAACCCACGCCTCCCACCCTAGTGAGCCAGAAGGCTGGAGACGTTAAATGGCTAGCACTAACCGTAACCGTGGGCAAGTAGCATAACCTCTTTGGGGCTCCGCTTCCTATTCAGTGGAACGGATATCACAGAACTTGTTACAGAGACTACGTGAGATAGCATATTTAAATGGCTGAACAGCGGTGTCTTGGCGCGCAAATCACCTTAGCGTTTACCATTATTGTTTATGTGTTTTTATCGATTTAAGTGCAGTACCATGAAGTTTGTGGAGCTTGGCGGGGCTGAGGGAAGTCTGGTCTGGAAGCCTGGAGTCTGGGGGAAACCTCAGCGGAGCGGAACCTTGGACAAGCACTTCCCTTTCTGGGCTTCAGTTTCCCGCCTCAAAAAAATGGGTGGATTTACTGATCTACACCCACCCTTCCCAAGCCGCACTACTCGTCGCCTGTCTGGGCAGTGACGCTTCTCGGTGGGAAAACTCCCACCACCCCATAGGCTGAGGTAGGGGCGGGGCGGGGGTGGGGCCTGGCGAGGGTCGGGTCCGGCCGCCCCACCTGCAGCCGCTTACCTCTAGGCTGTAGTTGCCTCGGATGGTGGTATAGTCGTCCAGGGCTTCGGACGCGCTCCCCTCGTCCAGGTTCAGCTCCTGACACAGAGCTTGCAGCGCCTCCCCAGCCGCGGCGACCACCGCCGCCCCTTCGGCGTGGGGCTCGTCCTCGAACATCCCCTCAGGCCCTGCGTGCGCGCGCCACGACCCCCGGCTCCTTTCTCCCTCCTGGGCGCGCTACCCACAACCCCCCGCGCCAAAGCGCGCGAAAATCGGTGCTTCTGATCGCTGTCTCTTCGGTTATATGCCTCCGCTTTTCTCCTCGGAAAAAGTCCGTTTCTCCTCCGGAGCTACCAGCCGTCCCTCTTCGGAAATGAGATAAGAAGACTGGCCTCGGATCCTGAAAAAAACCTGGCCTGGCCCTTGGTGGGCAGCGGGAGGTCCAGCCGCCGGGGCAAATGGGGAGCGGAGGGATCTGCAGCCTGCGCGCACAGTCTGCTGGGAGTTGTAGTCCGTGTCCTACCACAAAACCTGCGGCGCCGCCCTTGTTTCGGCAGCACTTGGGTTTGGGCAGAGCAGTGCTGGGCTGGGCTGTCCTGCCTATTGAGAGAGGGATTCATTCATAGGGGTGAGAAGCTTCCTCTATAGCCCAGCTCTTGGGCCCAGGGTTTGTCAGTGTCCCCGGGCGTCAAACACAGTCTAAGCCTTGCCCCTTGCCTCAGGAAATGGAGATAGGAACAGAAAAAAATGCCCCCTTGTCCGGGGCCTCATCGGATTCTCCACAACTTCTCCAGCGGCTACTGAGTAATCTGATGAATGGCTGAATTGAAGGACTGGTGAGGCAAAGATAAAAGGGACACCCCACATCTCATTTTAATCGCTAAAAGAGGCCGGCTGAGCTCCCTGGACTCTGGGAACTGTCCCAGTAAATACAGTCATGTCGGGCGTAGGAAGGCCTGAGCGTTAGCCTGAAGCCACAGCGATCTTTTTGAAAGGTAAATCAGAGCATGGCACTCCTTCACTCAGAATCCTTCATTAGATTCCTCTGGAAAGATCCAAACTTCTTTCCATGGCCTACAAGAGGCCCTCTCTGATCTGGCTCTACCTCATTTAGTGCATTTAAACCAGCCTCCCCCCCGCCAGCGTATATAATAAGGTTTAGTCTCTGATAAAAGAATCAGTTTTTCCCAAAACTCTGGACCTGACCTGATGACAACTCCATGATCAACGCTGCTAAAACATTTGGACTCTTACTTTGAATTCTAGTCTTAGACTTTTGTCTGACTGTGGGTCTTATCTCTTAGTTCACTTTCTAACCACACCATGTGCCTCAAGATTACTTACAAAGTTAAACTCTTGCCTTAATATTTATTTCCCAGGCCTATGCCAAGTTAAACTTACTTAGTTGAAGTTGTAAAAGTGCCCTTAGTTTTTGTTTTTCTCTCTTTTTTAACCTGTTTCTACAATGAGCATGCTCTTTTGCCCAATGGCAAGATATGTGGCAAGTGTCACTGTTGGTTTTTCAGGTTTTCCACGAATTAAAGGATCTGACTAATGTCCCATCCCAGCTCCCATGTTGCTTAAAATTTGGACGTAGACCTAGAGGCCAGAGCCTAATTCTGCACACACACACACACACCCACCCCCAACGTGACATGACTTTCTGAGAATGAGGCTTCCTAGTAATGAGGGACCAAAATGTGTACCTGGGTTGATCATCAGTGCTTTCAGATGAAAGCTTTTTAATCAAAATGGGGGAAATGATAACCAAAAGGATCTGCTCTGACCAGGTCAGCTAAATTATAGTGCCTTGGGAGATCTGGGATAAGTCAGTTGTCATGTTCACCTGTCCTGGAAAATGTTATCAAAAGACCATTTTTACTTAGAAGCAGACTTAATGATAACAAAAAGGCCATAAAATAACCTAGGATACTTATTACCCTTACCTTAGATCACTGCATGTAGGATATAACCTAGAAACATCTCAGACCTGTATGTCATGTACAACCAACAGAAAACCTGCTAAAGTAATTAGGTGGGGCTGTCATTCTCTCTCTCTCCTTTGACCATTCCCCGTTTTTGTGATTATAAAATGCTAAACTGTGCTGGCTGTCTTCAGAATGTATTTCTTAGCGTAACCAGAACTATATGTCTCCCTAATTACAGCCATCATATTTGCTTAATAAATCCTTATAATATGTATTTGGCCTCAGTTTTTTTTTTTTTTTTAGGTCAACAGCTCACTGCTTTGTTTTGGAAACTTAAAAATTCCAATTTGCCAAGCTAGTTCGTGCCTCAAGGCCTTTCTCACATGCTGATCAAACTGCCACAAATGCCCGTTGCTAGATCTTTGCTTGTCTGGCCCCTCCTCAACTTTCAAGTTCAACTAAATGTCATGTTCTCAGGCCATGCCCCAGTGCTGTATCTAAAGTAGCTGATTCCTCCCTACTAACACTTCATTTCATTGTCTCTATAGCACCTTATCACTATCTGAAATTATCTTCTTTATTGACTGGCTTTTCCAATAAAATGTGAATTGCCTGAGAGCAGGGACTTTCCTTTTGTATTCACTGTATTCCAAAGTTTAGATTAGTGCCTGGCACATAGTTGGCACTCGGTACTTAGCATGATGTGTTTGAAAAATTACTAAGAGTGGGCCGGCCCGTGGCTCACTCGGGAGAGTGCGGTGCCGATAACACCAAGGCCCCAGGTTCGGATCCCATATAGGGATGGCTGGTTAGCTCATTGGGTGAGCATGGTGCTGACAACACCAAGTCAAGGGTTAAGATCCCCTTACCGGTCATCTTAAAAAAAAAAAAAAAAAAAAATTACTAAGAGTCCATTGTTGCTTGGATGAGGGAAGGAGTCACCAGAAAGGAAAACGGAAGACAGATTAAGGTAGGTTGCTAAGGATCTCATATGCCCCACTAAAAGCCTGGGCATTATCCGCAAGGCAGTGGAGGTTTTAACGCAGGAGAGTGATGAATGATCGATCAGTCTGTGTTTTGGACAGATACTTCTGGCTGAAGTATGACACGTAGATTGAATGGGATAGAGACCAAAGGAATGGAGATGATAAGAGGCAAACCTGGAGAAAGGCTTGGACTGGCCTGGAACTGAAGGGGCACTGCTGAAGGAGGAGGAGTCCCCAAGAACACAGTTTCTATCTGTGCCAAGAGGGTTAAAGGTGACACTGGGAGCGCAAGCAAAGACATGAAATCAGTTATGGAACTGTTGAGTTTGGGATGCTTGCAGGAAGTTATGTGGAGGCTATTGGGTCCAAAAGATAGCCCCTATCTCCTATTCTCCACACAGAGAGGGGTGGGACTTGGGAGGGAAACAAGCAAAAACTTATCTCTCCCAAAAAACTCGAACTCAAATGGAACCATACATGTCATACTTCCAACTCTGCTTCCTTCTAGAAGGTATTGCTGCAGGACCATTGCAGCAAAAGGTATTGCTGACATCAGAACCATCACACTGTTCTCTGGAGGGGATGCTGGCACAAAGGTCTACATGGAGACTCTCTCCCCATGCATATTTACTTCCTTAGACGATTGGTTATGTGCATTGGGGAAAGGTTTATCATTAGTGCCCAGGGGTCTGTAACAGGCTATCAACCCTCCTCCTAACTTCTTTTACTGCCAACAAAGAAACATCAGGATTAGCGGAGGCGAGATGGATGAAGGTCCTCCTGTAGTGGTTCATTTGTTTTCTAATTAACCTACTATGCTTATTTAAGAGAGCTTCCAGCTCAGCAGAGAGCTCCAGGAGTGGGGGCACCCTGGACATGAGGATTTGGAAATGTTCAGGTGGTACCTGAAGCCAAGAGAGCAGGTTATCGTTCAGGGAGTGTGTTGGCATGAGAAGAGACTCAAATGTAGAACCCTTAGGAACACCAACATCTTAAGGGTGGGCAGAAGTTGAGGAGTGAATTTAAAACAGTGGCCAGAGAGATATAAAAATAAGGAGTGGTATGGCAGAGGCCAGAAAAGAAGTGCTCCATAGAGTCCAGTGCTGCAGAAAATTCAAATAGGATGAGGAACTCACAGAAGGCCTCATATTATCATTCCTTTGTTTTTGGTGACCCTTGCCAGAGAAGTTTTCTATACCACAGTGGAAGTTGAAGCCCTATTACTGTAGCTGAGGGTGTAAGAAGATAGCTTAAGTGATTCATTTTCAAGAATAGCCTAACAAAAGCTGCTTAACCAGCTTATAGGTATGACAACTTCAGAGAATGCACATTCCCAGAAAGTCACTGAAACAGCATGTCACCTTTGAGAAATAACTTTTCAAGATGGTGGCTGGTCACCAGCCCTTTGTTCTTTTCATTTCCTGGGTCTTCTCCCTGCTCAGGACTTTTTGGCAGGCCTTTTTTCTGGGCTTGTCTTGAGTCCATCCCTTTCTGTCAGCAGGAAGTGAACAATAAATACCTTATAAGGAAATAATGAAACCTAGGTGATGTTCAGGAAGATTGTATACCCCATAGTACTCAGCCAATGAGGAACTGGAGGAGGGACTTGCACACTAGGGAATAAATTGCTCGATGTAACCTTTAGGGTGTGCCTGCCCATCAGACATCTGATCTTGCAAGACTGCCATTAAAGTCTCGCTTTGCCGTACCTTGTGTCTCCATGTCCATCCTTTGGCATTGGACGGGTGAGGGCATTTCTCACAAGGGGCTAATGGGAGGAAGGTCAGAAAGTTGAAATAAGAAGTAGAAACTCTTCTTTAAGAAGTTTAATGGAGGAGAGGGAAAGGATGGGGTATTTTTTAGGACAGGGGAAACTCAAAAACATGTGAATAATTACGGGCAGGAGCAGGCAGAGAGAAACAGAAGATTAAAAAAGAGAAGGGATTGGGCCGGCCCGGTGGCGCACTCAGCAGAGTGCGGCGCTTGGGAGCGTGGTGGCGCTCCTGCCGAGGGTTCGGATCCCACATAGTGACCGGTCCGCTCACTGGTTGAGCGCAGTGCGGGCGCGACACTGAGGGTTGCGATCCCGTTACCGGTCACGAAAAAAGACAAAAAGGAAAAAAAAAAAAAGAGAGAGAGAAGGGATTATTGATGTAGCCAGGCCCTGGAGAAAGTGGCTAAGCCAGAAATCAAGAGCCTGGCCTTCCTCTTCAGAGTTCCTATCTGGAAGCTAAATCCAGATTAAGCAGGATCTGCTAGGTGCTCTGCTTATTGGAAAATAGAGCAACATGCAGTAGGGAGCTGACAGTGGTAAAGGTTTGGAACAACTGTTG